AATTTCAAGCCGAACACGAAGACGAATATTTAAATCGAGTCGAACACGAACACACTGTTCACGAGCCGATTTCAAACACGAGCCGATTTCGAACACGAGCTATTTCGAACGAGCCGAACACGAGCCAAGCCCGAGCTCCCTCAAGCTCAGCTCGTTTACAGCCCTACTACCAAGTGCCTTGGAAAGGCATAGAGCCATGATTAAGCAATCTCCTTGAAGTGCCTCGGAAAGGCATAGAGCCATGATTAAGCAATCTCCTTGTGATCTAGAAGTTGTGTGTTCGATTAATGGAAAAAGAATTTGTAGAATGCAGAAATCTATGTAAATCTAACCTTATCAGAATTCCCTCTTATGATTTCACTTCTCTCTCTCCATGACCATTGAAGGGCTTTGTGATGGTTTGGAGTTGATTTTATGACTGCTTATTGATCTTTACCTCGCGTCAGCCGTTTAACTTATTGATTTCATGATATTTTGATTTCTCTTCATTGATGTATCAAACTATCAATACTTGGTGGATTGAAGGAGACATAATTGTATAAAAGCTTCATCATGTTTCTACTGTGCACTTATGGTTAAGATCTCCACTTATGAATATTAAAATTTGATACAATACGGGCCGTTTTGGATCACTTTTGGTTTTTATTGTTTTATTTTTTTATTTTAGTCTATGTTTTGATTTGAAATAAAATACATTTGTCTAGTTGATTGAGATATTATTGTTTTTAAAAGCACTCAAAATAACTAACAGTTTTTTTTAGTTTTTAAAAGTATGTTAATTTTGTTTTAGAAACAATAAATAAAAATATATAAAAACACACTAAATAAGCATGTTTAAAAAAAAAGGAAAAAAAAAAGTGAAAAACCAAATTGATTTCAAATAAGCCCCAAGTAAATGGTTGAGTGTGCTGATATGTTTTGTTCTCATTCATTCAATCAATGTATTATTATTATTGTTAGAATGTTTTCTTGATGATGTTATTTCTTGCAATGCAGCACAAGAACATGGAAGTCAATATAGAACTATGGAAAGAATCACAGGCCTATGGAGATATACAGTTGATGCCCTTTGTCGACTACTACAGCCTAATCACTTTGAAAACTGTAGCTATTTGTATTATAGGGGTAAAGCATCTGTTCTCTGGGCCCTGTTTTTCAAACTAGTTACTTTCTTTTGCCATTGCAATTCTTATGTTAATGTCTTATAATAAATTTATATTATCACAACAAACCTTAACATAAAATGGTTCTTGCTTTCATTGCATCACATTAACATGTGTGGAGTATTTTTCCCATTTTATATAGGCCATCTAAGCATTGACTCGGCGTTCACATTACCAGCACACAAGAATCCTTACATCCAAAAATTTATGATTTTTGGAGCTTTTAACATTACTCTTTATCTTTTTTAGAAAGTGTGTGTTAACCGAATATAAATGAGCTAAATATTGTTTTTCTTGGTCTTTTAACTATCAAGCTTAGCATGAATGAGCCGGTGAACAAGCTAAAAATATGTTTTTTATGTTTCCATTTTTAATATCAAGCATAACATGAACCACAAGCCAAGTTGATGATCATCAAATTGCAACAATTGTTGTCCAGATGGCTTTGATTGTATTTAAAAGTGTATAAATTTTATTATGCAAGATATTTTAGGCAGTTTAAAATATAAAATATAGATGCTCTATAGTTTTTAATATACATCAGTAAAAGAAGGTTATGTGCGTGTGTGTGTAGTCGTATATTTTACTCGCATATTGTTTGCTAATATCAGTTTTACAAGGATTGGAGCTCTTACTTACCCTCACACATTATATATCAACTTCCATATATTTGAATGATGAGATTTAAAGTAAGTTTTTTGCTAATTAAATATCATCATTATCATTGTCAAGTTGGAGCTCTTACCCTCACACATTATATATCAATTTCCATAAATTTGAATGATGAGATTTAAAGTAAGTTTTTGCTAATTAAATATCATCATTATCATTGTCAATACCCTTGTTTAAACTATTTTTGGTCTGCTTATTTAGTTATGAATTTTGTATACATTTCTACTGAGTTTTGTCATAGAATTAGATTTATTCTTCACAAATTATTTTTAACAACTTATCTCCATGAAATATTAGGCCTGCTTTATAATCCCATGCCGCTAATTTTATCTATTTATCTAATTGGCATGTTTTTTATCTTTCATTGTATATATCTGGACTATTTGTTTATTTTTAATTATTTTATCTTCAATAGATTTCTCTTGGTGTCTCTCCACAAATATAGTTATTTCTTATTTGACTATACTTCCATCTCAACATTCTCATTTCTATCATGCTCAACTTTAATATTTATAATTTCTGTATCATCCAACATTTAGATCCATAAAATATTGTTGGATTATTTGTAGACTTATAAAACTCAACTTTACACTTGATTGACTTCCCTTAATCATACAAAACACATAAAACTTTGGAACCATCCAACATTAACTTTAGGACTTATATCCTTATCTGTAAATTTTTTATTTTGTATAATAGACTTAAGATATCTGAACATATCACACTTAATTATCATCTTATCTTCTGACAATATTAAATGATAATTGTCAATATCACAGATTATTCAAAATTCATATCATATGCTTAGTTTTTGTTTTGTTAGTTTTAAATCTCTTATCTTCTAAATATTTCCTTCATTATTTCAATTTTTTCATTTATTTTGATTCATGCCCCCACAATTATAACTATAATAACATTTGCAAAAGGCATATAACAAGACAGTACATTGAATATCTTTTATAAGCATATTCATAAATGATAGTAAAAGATCAACATCCAACCTCTATCTTTGATGTAAAGGTAACTTAATGGGAAACCCTGATTTCACTTCATAACTACTACTAATGCCTGTTAGTGCTTACATAAATATATTTACCAACATTAATATATCTTTTATGTAGACCTTTCATTTTTAAATTGCATCAAATCGTTTTTCATGATTCTAGAACATATATTTTCTAACGATCAACAAAAAACATTTGAATGAACCCTCTATCTATATATATCTCTATTGCCCGACTCAACATAGAAGTTATTTTTATAATATATCTTTTTTACTTGAAGCCAAAATAGTTATTGGAAATTGAAGTAATTATTTTTTACTCTCTTTGCATAACTTAAGAATCATAAGTCCAATTTCCTTGTAATTTGTACGGTTTTAAATTAATTTTGCTTTCAAGTGTTCATATTAAAATACTTCTCGAATCATTTGATAACATCATAGCTTTCATTGTTTTTTTAAATTATTGTTAATTTCTTTTCAATTTCCTCCTCCATAAATCTTAAATCTTATTAGGTATCACCTATGAACTTGAAGTTTCTATTTTTCATGTATTATAAAATTTTTTATTGTATTATTCCTTATGCTATCATTAAACATAGTTTTTTAAAGTTTGTATTTAGTAATTTTTTAAAGTTCATTTTGATTTATTCTTGATATTTTTGACTTTAAATAAGATTTTATAACCTTTACTTCTAATAGATTTTGCTTCATCAAGATCCTTAGATCTCTTATCTCTTGCCATAGTTTTTTTGTATATATCTTTTATTCTCTTTCATTTATACTAGGCCAATTATTCATCAACAGGTGCATTTTTTGCTTTACTTTTACTCACCACATTCCTTTAAAGGTTTTAGTTTTCTCCTTATTATTTTAAGTCTCAACAATATTTATTTTTATTGATATTTAAAAGTTTATATTTTTTAATGATTTTTTGCACCAACTCGTTTCCGTACCAAATACGATTTACCAATATATGATGTATTTCTAGACTCTCTTAAAATATTTTCAACAATCGTCTTAAAGAGACTAGCCATCTTATCTTACATCAAGTTTAGTTCATGTAAATAATTATAATTTATCTTTGTTAATAAATTATCTTAATAGATTAATAATTTATTTTTTTTTAATTTTTATTTTTTTAAAAGTTTAATAATTTTTCACGTTTCCAATTACATGACCTTATCCTAGGAAAATATTTTTTTAATTACTTTATTTACATTTTTAAGTTATATGTTTTAAACTATCATATGTTGTATGTTGAAAGTTCTACTAGAAACACTTTATAACGCATGTAAGAAGATTTTTCTTTTCTTCTAAATAAGGAATAAATTTATTTGAAATTTTGGGGTTTTATTATTGTAAGTATTCTTCTTTTTTCTTAAAATATGTGTTAACTATTGCCTACTATGAAATCAAAATATAATTTCTCACATTGCATTTCTATCTTTTGTTGCATAACCACATGAACCATCTCATAGCACATCCTACTAGAACTGTTATGCCCTGTTAAATCATCTCCAATAATTATCTTCATTCATCATAAAGTAAACTTTGTGTCAATTTAGCTATCTCTTTTTAAAATTAAGGTTTTTAAATTATCTTGTAATCTAATATGAGAAGCATGCGTACTGACCACATCTAGAAGCTTTTTTTATGATAATTTTCTTCATAGAAATCACCCTATCACTGGTTCTATTGTCTTAACAATTTTATCTATCATTTTTTATCTAGTACGAGTCTGGCCTCCTTTTTACGATTAGGCTTTTCTATAATAGCTCAAAGTCTCAATCATTGAAATTTTATTCACTTCAACATAATGGCTGTTAAGAAAAAATAATAAGATTAATCGCACAATCAAAGGAACACAAAATTTACATGGAAATAAAACATAAACAGGAAAAAATCACAGGAGAGCCAGAGCAAAAAACTACACTAACAAAAAAAGTAGTCGGCATTAAAGTTGAATATAAAACTTCTTAGTTTCTTGCCTGATTCCTCACACTCACTCTAACCGTGACATACAGTGGATATTTATAGAGTTACAAAAAAAATATTTTTGATAGGAAATATATTTGGTATCAAATATATTAAGCAAGAAATGTATTTAAAATAAATATATTTGGTTGGAAACATTACATCATTTAATATCAAATATATTAAGCAAGAAATATATTTCAAGCTAAATATATTTGCCAAGAAATTTCAAGACATTATTTTACAACTACATTGCCTTAATAAGATGAAACTTCAAGTTATATTCAGCTCTCCTAATCCCCTTGGGTTTATCTGCTTCAAACATCGATCAAGTCCAAGCAATGCTTGAACTTGGTTGCTGGTAGAGGCTTTGTCATCATGTCGGCGGGATTGTCTAGAGTGCTGATTTTTTTTACCATAACATTACCCTGAGTGATGATATATTTAATAAAATGAAATTTGACGTCGATGTGCTTGGTTTGCTCATAGTCCATTTGGTCTTTTGTCAAATGAATAACATTTTGACTATTACAAAAGACAGTCACGTTCATAGACTCCCTCCTGAACATATAAGCCTTTCAAGTAAATGACTTTTGGTACACTAGACAATTTTTCTGTCATGTGATCAATGTTGAACAAGGTCTATTCTTGATCCAATGGAACCGAAATATTTCTTATCTTGACTTACCACAAAGCAAAACGGGTGATTATTTTAGCTTCTCCATGTTGTACTTCATTGTGGTCATTATTGAGAAGAAATATATAATACTATGATCGATTTCACAAATAAAATCGATGATGAACAAGATCGATCTTATATGCGACAAGCATATCTCCGATATAACTTTGTTAAAAAAGTGTAACACTAATCATCATCAAGTAATATCAATCATACAATCAAAGGAACACATGATTTACGTGGAAAGGCCCATAAATAGGAAAAAATCACAGGAGTGCTAGAGCAGAAAAACTTCACTAACAAAAATATAGTTGCTGATAAAACCAAATATAAAATTGTTTAGTCTTTAGGATAATTTTATTATTTCTTGTAAGGATTTAAACTTTTGTCATGATTACCTCAACATTTGTAATTCGTTGGGCTGATTTAGATTTCATATTAACTCAAAAAATTACATTTTGCCTACCATAGAAGTTAAATTTCATAAACGATTATATTGTTACTTCCGACATTAAGAACCATAATTCTATTTAACTACATAATTATGACTTCATTTACAGACGAAACTCCTCCCTGCTAAATACATCATGAAAACTGATGATGATGCCTTTGTAAGAATTGATGAAGTCGTATCTGCTCTTAAGAAGAATGATCCCAATGGCCTTTTGTATGGTCTCGTCTCATTTGAATCATCTCCCCACAGAGATAAGGATAGCAAGTGGTACATCAGCGAGGCGGTACATCCTCTCTCTCCTTCTCACTCATCTTGATTTTTTCTTTATAATTCTTTTCTAGCATTTTTATTTTGTTTTGTTTTTTTTAATTTTTAGAAATTTTTAAAATAAAAATGAGCTTTTTACTGCTTGATTTATTTAGCGTGTGGCAGCTTAAGAAAGTTGCTGTCCAAACCTCTATTTTTTTTTTAAGGAAAAAACTATAATACTCTCAATAGCCTTAAAAACTCTGGTTTTCTTTTAAGAGCTATTTCTTTTGTTGAAAAAAGAATACAGAGTAAAATGAACACAACGTAAGTGTAGTGAAAATATTTTTTAGTTGTTTGGTTGATTACACTACACGAATGCAGAATACTATTTTTGTTTTTGGTTTAAAGAAAAATTAATCCAGTGTTAAAACCTCCTACGACAGCAGTGGTGTGGCCTGCCAACAGCAGGCGGCCGATGATGATTGATGAGCACTAGAAGGTGGTGGCTGGCAGCGAGTAGTGGCCGACGGCCATGAGCAACAGCGGCAGCAATGTCAGGCAATGGTTGGTGACGTTTCAGACAAGCAGTGTATTTGAAATTTGGTTGAAGTGGGAGACTTTCAAATACATTAAAAATTAACTAACTAGGAAATTCCCGATATTGTTATTTTACCCCAAATTTATTTTTCGTTTAACCAAAAATCTTCAAGCTCAAAAATCTTATATTTCAATTATTTTACCCTAATATTACTTGTAATTTTATAGGCAATTGCAGCAGTCCAAATGAACCCATAACAAGCTATCAATGCCTTCCATAACTTCTTTTCTTCCCAGATAAATGACCGGCTAATTCCCTTCCCTCTTTCCTACAGGAATGGTCAAATGATTCCTATCCTCCTTGGGCTCATGGTCCTGGTTACATAATATCAAGAGACATTGCCAAATTTGTTGCGAAGGGTCATGAAGATGGCAAACTCAAAGTAAGTGTAAAACCCCTTGGGTAGAATAAGGCTGAACTCTTAAACATTGAGTTGTTTTTTAGTGTAACGGTTGGAATTTAATTAGAAACTCTAAAGTTAAGCATGCTCGTTTGACAACACTTGTGGGATGGGTGACCTCCTAGAAAGTTACATTAATGGAACAAAACTGTGAGTCTATTAAGACAAGGCGGATGATATCTCGATGAGTGAGAGTTCGAGCTATTATAAATGGTATCAGAGCATTACTCCAGTATGAATATACGAATATCTGCCTGTGGATGGGTCTGGTTAAGAAAATTGATGGGGACATTAATTACTTAAGTGGAGGAGATTGTGGAGCTAAACTCTTAAACATCGAGATACATTTTGGTGTAATAGTTGGAATTTCATTAGAAACTTCAAAGTTAACATGCTCATGCGAGAGTACCCACGCAATGGGTGACATCCGAGAAGTTACACTAATGGGATAAAACCATGAGGCTATTAGGCCAAAGCGGACAATATCTTGATGGGTGAGAGTTCAGGTTGTTACAAATGGTATTAGAGCATGCACTTGTCTGAAGATAGAAATATCGGTTTGCTGGATGGTTCTGGGTTAAGAAAATTGGCGAGAGGGTTAGTTACTTGAATGAAGGAGATTGTGAAACCCTATGTAGAATGAAGCTGAGCTCTTAAACATTGAGACACCTTTTGGTATAGTGGTTGGAATTTCATCAGAAACTTCTAAGTTAAATGTGCTAGTGTGGGTGCACTCATGGGATGGGTGACTTCCTAAGTTACACTAATGGGACAAATCCGTGAGGCTATAGGCCAAAGCGGATAATATCTCGATAAGTGACAGTTCAGGCTATTACAACAAAGCACTTAACCTTGTGTCCAGAGATGTCAACTATTTAGTTATCTATTTTGCGTACACTCCTCATCTATTGAATGAGAAAAGTGTCAAAATAGCTCTTTGACTCTCTCTAGAGGCCTACTATAGTCCCAAAGTTTATAAATATGCAACCTTAGTCCCCTAGACTCTTTTAGTATTGGCTGAAATAATCCCAAGAAGAACTATTTCAATCCCAATTTAAAGTGTCTGGGGATTAATTTTGTATTTTTTAAGCCTCTGAGACTAAAATGACTCCATGTAAACAGTCGGGAGACTATTTTGACACTTTGCTCTTTGTTGAATGCAGAAGCGCCAAATCAATTACACGATACATAGTATTTAGGAGATTTAACACTGATGGAAACAGATACTTAGATGAATCCATGATTTATGAACTCTGCTCCTATTGTTTTCTAGCTTTTCAAGCTTGAAGATGTCGCGATGGGCATTTGGATTCAGAAGTTCAAGGAAGAAGGTAGAAAGGTGAATTATGTGAATGATGAACGGTTCTACAACGCCGGCTGCGAGTCTGGCTATGTCCTTGCCCATTATCAGGGGCCGAGGAAGCTGCTTTGTCTGTGGGATAAGCTGCAAAAAGAACATGAGGCGATCTGCTGTGAATAAGTAACAACTTTCAAGCTGTAAGAAATCAAATCCTCGGCACATTGGGGATAAAAACTTGGAAGATCTATACACATAGCACTCAATTCTTATGTATTTACATATCTAACACTTCAATTCTTACACATATACCGTCTTATATATGCATGAAAAGGCGTTTTTCACTTTTTAAAAATTAAAATACTTGTATTTTTTTATTTGAATGAAGATGTGTGTGGTATAAATGTAAAAATCAAAGTGTAGGTGTTAGATATGTAAATAGATAGGAATGGGGTGATATCTATGTAAATGATCCAAAAAAAAATATCTTCTCCCAAACAGTATAATGATGAGTCTCTGATTTTGTTCTGTGTTTTGAGTTTTTTTTGTGAGGATTAGGAATGTTGGAAGCAAGCTGGAGCTGTAACTGGAGGAGGTTGATTGAAGCTCTAATGATTGTATGGAACTGATGAGGCAAAGCGAAGAGACTGTCAGCAGCATAGGTAAAAACACTGTTTTTATTCAATGGAAGATTTACATATATGCCACTCAATTCTTATATATTAACATATCTGATCCCTAAATTTAAATTTTCACATACATACTACCTTACCTATGCAGGAAAAGGTCTGCTTCACTTTTTAAAAGTTAAAATTATGATAATGATTTGGGTGGTATAAATGTAAAAAGCAGAATTTAGGAGATATGTAAATGCATAAGGTATGTATGTAAATACCCTTATTATATATTCTTTATAATTATTTTTTTTTTCTGAAATATAAGGCTCTTCTTTATCAAATTCATTAGATAGAGCGACTTCCTGTCTGAAATTTTGCTTTTCTGATGCACAAAAAATCTACATTCAACTGATCCAACATAAATAAGTAAATGGAAATGTCATTGGGCACATACTTCTGGTTTTTATTCTTTTTTAAAATATTGCACTAAAACATAAATAAGTAAATGGAAATGTCATTGGGCACATGATTTTAGTGGAGAAATATTAAAAGATTTTTTTAAATAATTACATACATAGCGCTCGAAACATTGCTATTTACAAAACTAGTACCCAGGTGATTTTTTTAAAATATCGAACGGATGCATTCATGCGTGGCACACTCAAACCATTAGGAATTTGATAAATGTGAAAAATATGGGTTGGGGTTCTTTGTGAATTTTGATATTTGAGTGAGAGTTTGAAAACTTGATTAAAGAGTTTGCTATTTTTGTAAATACTAAATACCAATGTTTTGAGTCCTACATATGTATTTGCCCTAAAAATATTCTTTTGTGTGTGTGTGTGTGTGTGCGCGCGCACGCGCCTCTTTCTTTATACATGAGAAGATGTATTTCACTCTTTAGAAGTTAAATTGTGATATCTTTGGCGTGATATGCAAGATTTGAAGAGGGGGCGGGTATCTTCGAGCTTCAATTAGTTTTATGAATGTCGACTCAAGATAGTTCTTGGGCGTTTCGTGAAGGCAATTGCGTGGATTGTGAATTTGGTCATCCCGCGTGTGGGTTTTTAATGTAGTTCATATTGTGAAAATGTGGACAATGTTGTACTCAAATGGTATGAACTATAACATATTCAAATACATTGTATTGCATTGTTCGATGAGGTATTGACTTAAGAGTTAGGTTTTTGAATGTCGGGTGATGATGTTGATGAGCAGGATGATTACGAATGTGAGATGAACATCATCTATTCTTTGCATACTTGGCATGTTTGATGATATTATTATGATGGTTGGTTTCTATAACTAAGAAATGAGTGTCATTTGGTATTTTAGGTGACTATGGATGATTCAATCATTGTTGTCGTATGTGATACATTTGATATTGTTGTTGCAATAGTCGGATGTAATAGCATGGTTGAATGATACACTTATGGGTTTATTTATGGAATTTCTGGTTATATATATGTCTATGTATCTTTACTTGGTGGGATGATATGAATAAAGCTTTTTGTCCTTCTCTGCTTTCTGGTTATATGTCTATGTATCTTTACTTAGTGGGATGATATGAATAAAGCTTTTTGTCCTTCTCTGCATTCTATTTTCTTCAACTTCTTTGAGGAAGATCATAGACTGGTGATGCCTTTCCTTTAGTTTTTTAAGTGACATTGGGTGATATAATCTTGATCATCATATATGGTACATTTATTTATTTATTTTGTGTATAATAGTTGTCAAGTGTCTTCAAACATGAGGAATTTCTTAGAACACTTTTTTATCTTAAATAATAATAATAATAATAATAATAAAACTCAAATAAACTAAACTTTGGATATTAAAATCCTAATTTTAAGTGTTTATTTTATTTTTCATTATAGTTTAATAATTCTATTAAATATATATAGTTTTAGATATGAAATTTATACAAGGAGCTCAGTGAATCTAATTGAATAAAACTATACAATCAAATTTATTAAATTTAATAGATTAAATAAAAAATTTAGGGTCTCATAAATTTGCTAAAAATGAGTTGTCAAATTTATTACAAGTAATTTTGGCACATAATCACTAAATGATTGCTTAATTGGAAATAAATTAATTAAGTAGAGAATCATCAAATCAAATGATTAAATTATAAAAAAATTATAAAATAAAAACTTTAATATCTAACATATATTTCTAAGAATTAATTTTCTTTTGCTTTATTTTCATCATCATAAAGCCTTAGATTTATTAGAATCTTTTTATAATTTAAAATCTCTAAATACACATGTTAGACTTTGCCTACTTGAATGTTGTGAAGCCACCATCTTGAGCACGCCTTCAAGTAACATTTACCCTAAATAAGTCTCAAGTGAGCAATAATTATTAAGAAGTTTTAACTAGATACCATTCAATTCCTATGTATTTACGTATATATCACCTAAATTTCAATATTTACACTTCATCCATGCAAGAAATGATGTATTTCACATTTTAAAAATTAAAATTGTGGAATGTTTGATGTGATATGAAATTTTTGGGCGATACAAATGTAAAAGCAAAATTTAGGTTCCGTTTGGGGCAGTTTGTGTGTATCAGGATAAACTTCTTATACTGAAACGCGGCCCGCGGGCTGGCCGCAGGGGTCGATCCGCGGCCCGCGCTTTGTCGATCCGCGGCCTGCGTTTAGTGTAAAAACTCAAACGCAGTTTCAGATAAGCTGGCGTAACACGCGAACTAAACGGTACGACGACGTTTTGAAAACGTCGCCCGCACTTATAAACTGCCCCAAACCCCAAATGGACACTTAGTGTTTAGATGTGTAAGTACATGAGAATTAGTGATATGTATGTAAATGGCCATAATTATTTCTATATTTCTATTTGATTTTTATCTCCAAATATTTTTGAAGTCATCTAATAAGTAGAATGTAAGATATCACAAAAAACAAATAATAAAATAAAAAAAATGAAATAAAATCTTAAAAATTATAATTGTTTTTTCAACTTTGATTGTACCTGAGTTGTATGGTTGATTTTGACTTTAAATTGACTAGCGAAAATAGTTGACCTAGGTTTCAAGTGATAAAGCTTAGGGATGAATTTATAAGCCCAATATATAAATATAATAGTATTTGGGAGCACAAAGAATGTGCCATGAAATATTTAGTTTCCTAAATATTACAATTAATAATTAAATATTAATTTTACTTATTATTCAATTTTAAATACTCATTAATTTTATTTGATTTGGCATATTTTGATAGCTACAAAATTTAGCATGGAGAGACAAATTTAGGTTTGAGAGAAGCAATTTCTTTTTAAAAATATTTCTTTTTGTGTAACATTTATCTTTAAGCTCGAACAAATTCAATTAATTTCTCATTGCAATATGTATAAAAAAAAATGCACTCTAAGATAAATAAATGGGTTATCTTTGCTATTATATTTATATTCATCAAAATTAAGTAGTGTCAATGTTTTCGTTCGTTTTTCTCTCTTTTATTTTAGAAGGAGTTGAAGTTGTCAGTCTGTCGATCGTCGAATACTTCTCTCAATCGAATAAATCTTCATCCCGAATCAGATCAGTGATTCGAAGAGGAGAGGAACCGAATAAGAAGGGACATACAACAAAGTGACAAACAAGAGAAAACACAAAACGTGGAGAGCCTCACAAAACGTGGCCTCGCAAGGATAGCGTGCGGTAAACCTCGCAAGGATAGGTTAAGTGTGTCCACCCAAACAAGATCGGGTGAAAAAACCTTAAAACGATATCCGCGAAAGAATATCTACGTAGGCTACATATAACCAGCGATTCAGGTGTGGGTGTTTGTTTTAAGGTCAAGGGCACTCCCAAGGGGATGTATCCCACTTGGTTAATTACATCTTGGGGGGTACCCAAGAATACTCTTGATAAAAGGAGTTTCGTTTGGATTATCATGAACCTGGGGTATAGACAATCAAAGAGAGGTTATTCCATGTGAAAACAGTTCCGATACTTCAAAGTCCGCGCTAAGCTATCAGGCAGAGAGTGATTCTCTCACATCCCAATTGGGCAGTGGCTCATCATCACACGGGGCCCAGAAATAACCTAAATCATCTTGACGGGGGGCCATAAGGGTAGAGGACAAATCGTCGTATCCCAAATCGGCGACAGTTCATCGGCATCAGGCCGTCAAAATGATATCGACGAGGTCAAAGGAGCGATAGGGCTCAAAAGGGGTCAACAAAAGAAATGTAGAGTAATCATAGAAGGTAGAGGTAACTGGGTCGGGGGTACCACGGACCCGTCATCCACAGCTACTAGGACCCTAAGTCTACCTGGTCGTGAAGGTAGTCGACCCAACATGTCCTGAGATCCCCGGTCAGCAATCCGTAAATTGCGTCGTCCACGGGAACCTCGGTAGCCCTAAGGTCAAAGGAAAGAAACCCTATCCTATGACTAAAAGATGGAGCTCCAGTGAGACTTATTCATGTCGAAGTGGCAAGAATGCCTCAAGAAAGAAAGAGAAGTAGAGGTTCATCTACGAAGCTGGAAACTCTCCCAACAAAAGGACTTATACCATGTCTGGGTCGGGGAGCCTTCTAACATCCTAGGCGCACTAGACAACCACCTACAAAAGGTATGTTGGGCCAGTCAGGTTGAAGAAGCACGGGAGCTCCTCCTCGGGACATGCAAATATGATGCAGTTATCTAGAGCGGTCCTTAAGTTTGTGGAAGCCCTATTAATATAAGCAGAAAATTAAAATTACAATTTTTAAATCCTGATTATTTTAATCCTAAATTTTAATTATCTTGAATATTTTATTTAGGGTTTTGTAGAAAATTACAATTTTAGGGTCCTTAATGAGCATAGATTATACAATATGATGCAAAAAGCAAAACAAACCAAATCAAAATAATAAACAGGCCTATGTCGCTGGGTCGGCAACATATCTCAGAAAAGAAAAAGGCGGTCGGACTCCGCATATACATGTCTGGTCCTAATTTTATACACAATATAAAATACAAAATTAAGATACGGGGCACGAGCATCAGCTCCTAGTCCCCTCCCATGGTTCTTACGTCAGATGTCTCGGAACCCGTGCCCGTATCTTATTTCTGCTACAGGACTCTCCTAGACTCTAAAAGTACATAGAGAAAAAAAAAGACTCAATCTTGCATGAAAACAAGTGTCAGCGGGAAAACTCACATGCAAATAACGTATCATGAGTCATGCCTTAAAAGTGGGGGGGCTAATAGCACCTGAAGCAAAAGGATCAGAAATCATTACTTGCTCCCCTTATAGCGGTACTTGTGTGTGCATATAAATAGACATGACTCCATGCAGAAAAACACCCTAACACACTACCATACATATGCAACATGCAGTCACATCACAAGCACAATGCAAAAGAAAGATATCTGACTAGGGCAATCAATCCAGCAAAGAACAATAGCCAAGTATCAAAAAGACTATCTAGCCACCCTAAATCCTAACCTAGCACACCATCTAACAAAAAGTGCGTCACGAAAAGTGCGTCAACCTAGTATCTACCTGCGGAGTAAGTCTGAATATAATAAGACTTTGACGAGGTCGTCATACCGGCTTCATTCTAAAGATCTGAAGAATTTAAAGGGTGTCACAAAGAGTGGTGACACGAGTTAGATCTATTAGATCTTTAGCACAGTCATACTCATGTCAATCCCAATGACTTAACTCGTATTGCTCACCGGGATCAACTCAGCAAGCAATGCTCGTTTAGGTATCGCGGCCGACACAGGGTCACTCTCCTAACGAGCATGGCTCGCTACCTATGCAAATATGCAAATACAAATACAGACAATCATGTGACAGAAGTGATGAGTGTACCGTGGGCAGTTACTCGAGAGAAGCTGGGCATATTGTGTAGGCAGCGGCCCGAGCAAATGAGTGTGCTATAGTGGCAGTGACTCGAAGGGTTGGTGTGTCGTGGGGGCAGTGACCCGAAGAAAGGTGTGTCGAGGCAGTAGTGACCAAAAGTGATGGGCGTGTCGTGGTGGCAGCGGCTCCAAAGGGGGCTCGAAGGTGTGCCGAGGCGGCATTGACCAAAAGGGATGGGCGTGCCGTAGCGGCAATGGCCCAAAGAAGGTGTGTTGAGGTGGCAGTGATCAAAAGGGATGGGCGTGCCGTAGCTGCAGTGACCCAAAGAAAGTGTGTCAAGGCGAGAGTGACCAAAAGGGATGGGTGTGTCGTAGCGGCAGTGGCCCAAAGAAAGTGTGTTGAGGCGACAGTGACCAAAAGAGATGGGTTTGCCGTGGAGGCAACGACCTGAAGAAGTGCAACACAAGCAAATGATAATGATTATGCAAGCTAACACATACAAACTGCAACATACCAACAGACAAGCATGTGATATAATGCAAAAGCAAATAAACATGCAAGTGGTCGGTCAACCGAACAGTGGTGGTCGGTCGAACCAAAGTGATAGCGCTCTACCGGCCCGGAGCAGCCGATCAAACCAAAGTAAGACGCTCATCGGGTCGGGTTGGCCGGTCTGAGCGAAATAAGATGCTCGTGGAGCCGGGGCGACCAGTTGGAGCCAAGTGAAATGCTCATCGGATCGGGGTGGTCGGTCGAAGCAGAGTGAAATGCAACATGCACCAAGCAAAAATGCAATATGCAGCAAACCAACATACATGTAGCAAACCGGGCTCGTGCTAACGACCTCCCTTGGAGACCTAAGGTTTAGACTCTTGGATGTGCGGCACCGCCGCCTCTTGCTCTGGGTCCGAGGGAAAACTGGTTCCGAGGGAAAAAACTCTCCATGGCGTCGCAAAATAGGATAGCTACAAAGTTTTTCCTGTTTTGCGAACTCCTCCAGACTTTGCAAATCTAGCCAGTTACAAAGCTTCTCTCGCGTTGTCGAGTCCGACCTCCCAACTTCTCCAAGTAAAGCTGGGGAATTCAAAGCAAGGGGAGTGAGGGGCTCCGACCCATCAAGACTTGTGCTAAGGTTCACAACAATATGGGAGACACTCGGCTCTACGGGGGGTGTTTGACCACACACAGGAAGTCCTAACCTAAAGGCCGACAGACTTTAGACCCAACAGGGAAGAAATCCAAGCAGGGAGAGAGCGGCGAGCTCTGCTGGATGAGGCTCAGCCTGCGGCTGAAGGAGGTGCGCCAGAGGCGGCGGTCTTCACCGGCGATGAGCGGAGGGCCGGCGGTCGGAGATCGACCCAGAGCTAGGGTTCGTGAATGGTCCTGGCGGCTGCTGCGAAGGCTTGCGATCGGATAGGGGAGAGAGGTGTGCGTGAGCTTCCTTCTTGGCTAAAATCGACGTTCCGGACGCGTTGGAGCAGTCCGTTTCATCTTACGGGGTCGTTTGTGCCACTTTTTTTACTACCGTGCCCAAAACGATAATTCAGACATTTTCATCCTGCCCGCGAAGCCGTAGCAAAGTGGCCATCCCCCGTAAGTGAAATCGACGTTCCGGACACAGTGGCGAGGTCTATTTCATTATTCGGGGTCATCTAGATAACTTCGCTGACGATCAGTTCAATTTGAGTCAATTTTGCGCGGGACGCGACACAAAATATTCGTTGTCCCGATCGGAGCCGTCAATCGTGCTAAATGCTGACCGGCCTTCGCCTAGGCGAAAGCCAAAGCCTAGCAGAATGACCTTGGCTACGTGCCTCTCAACACGTGCCAAAAAGGTCTCGAGCGTGTGTCTGAACTATCAGATGTTACAGATGGACCGTAGACTATCGCGAGTCAAGCAGGTGGACACCCTACACTCGTGACATCAAAAAT